TGTCATTTTTGACATCAACAGCAAAGAAATTTTTGTATTACGTAATGTCACATTCAATGAGACATTTTTTCCTTTTTCACCATCCTGTCCAGCTTCACAATCCACTACCAATACACCACCTGACCATGACACCAGCCCAATTCATAATCACACCCTCCCAGAACATGAAATAGACTATTCCCACCACCCTCCCTTTGAGTTTCACATGAGATGGAGAGTTGAATCCATCAATGAATCGTTTAGTATGCCAAATGCACAATAACATTGCAAACAACATTTTTAGAAAGTAATTGCCCATTACAATTTTGCAGATATGAAATTTCTACTATGATAAAAGTGAAAGAACAAACACTACTAATTAATTATGATTTCCTATGTATTGAAAGCCCTACAACATGGTCTAAGTAGTTAGTATAAGTGTTGTGATAAGTGCTATGATTACATTAAGTTTATGGCCTAATTTGGGGCACTTATATCAATTTTCTTTGCTTTAGATCTTTTTTTTAACTTAAAACATATATAAATTGGTAGGTGATCACATTTTGTCTTTGAATCATGCTTTTTGGTAACTTACAAGTATTTGGTTGTTATTTTGTAGTTTAGAAGAAAGCTAAGAAAGAAGGAAGGAAGCAAAGGAAAAAGTGGTGAACTCAAAGTAGAAGAAATTTTTGGTTAAGTCTCCAGGCTAAGCCTTAGATCCACCTTAGCCTTAGCTTGGCAGAGAGTCACTGAAACAAACTTCAATCCTCAAGCTGAGCGTGAGAGTTCCAAAAAATCACTTCTTTACAAACCTATTCTTCAAGCTTAGAATGGCATCTCATGCTTAGTGTGAATTGTGCTGACATGTCATTATTCACATAAGACAAAAGCTTTTATGACCTAAAAGAGAGATTTTCAAGGAGAAAAACATGAGGAATCATTCTTGGAGTCTGTGTGGCGGTTGGAGAGCTCTGGAACCTTTAAGATTAAGCTTCTTCCTTTCTTCATCATTTTGTAGAGTTCTACATGTCTATGTGTAGCTAATTATCTCACCCTTGTTGGGGTTTAATGTAACTAAACTCATTCTCATGTGTAAACTCTAAGTAATCAATCTCAATTGTTATTCAGTTTTATTGTTCTATTTTTATGTATAATGCTTGTTATGACTTGACCACCCTTAACTTGAACTTGAGGTTTTTAAGAGATTGAGAAATGATTTTGAACCTTTGAAATGAAATAGAGCAGCTAATAGTGCTTACTACTAGAGATAGAGTAAATGCCATTGGTCTTTCTTAAGCTCTAGTTTTTAAAGTTGGTTTCTTGGTTAAACTATGCAAGAGATTGATAGTTTAAGTTAGCAACTTAGATACCAACTTGTAAGAGATTAGGGTTGGTTATTTTTGAGAGTGATTGATAAATCCTAAATCATAACTATTGTGAGCTTAGTGATAACCATGGGAGGAAGGTTTAGTGAAGTCAAACTCCAACATTTATTAATGTTGCTTTTGAATCAAGTTTTGCACCCCAAGTATTTACAAAAATACCAAAAAGAATTCTTATTATTTGCTTATATTATTTACTACAGCAAATCAAACTCTTATTTCTTTTTGGTAGTTAGTATAACAAGTGAATTTGTAAAGTGTTGCGCAAGTCCCTTGGGAAACGATACTCATACTTTTATTGAACTAATTATACGATTTGATACACTTGTGAAGGGAGATAACAAGTTTCTGACCTAGGGCTTAATTTGTACGCCCTTTGTCAAGTCAAGCATGCAAGAAGAGAAACATTTAAAGGTATATTTATTTAAAGGTAAACTCTACGGTTTGAAACCTTAACTTGATGATAGAAAAATGAAATTGAAAAACTTATGATTGTGAGGTCTTTTCTTTTGTGTTTTTTAATGGTTTGTATACCGAATAGGTAAGCAACCAGCAGTGAAGGCGATTTTTTTGCAATAGTAAAGGCATATGATTGAATTATTTTGCTAATAGTTTCTACACTAAAGAAGGAAAGCACCACTGTAGGTGGAAAGCTATTCCTCCTTACTTATTGTTGCATATATGCATTTTATATTTCAAAAGCGCCCACAAACCACTGTTAAGTCTCAATTTTACCTCTTTTTGGATGAG